CGTTTCTTACTTCTGCAAAGAAGAAAGAACAGAATTTAAAGCTTTAGCAATTTTTTTGTGTTTTGCATTTGGAAAGATAAAAAAATAAAGGCGTTACAAATGTTACAAACTTATAGCTTGTACTTTCGTCTTTGGGGTAGTAAAAAAAATATTTCTAGATGTCTTAGTTTTTGTGTTACAAGTTTTTAAAAAGTGCATGTTTTTGTCAAAAAAAACGTCTTATTTTTAAAACTAAGCAAAATCTACCAATAAAAGTTTAGCTTAAAAACATTGTCATAAAAATCCACATCCAAAAATGCTAAGAAACATATGGTGTTTCATTTAAAAAAACACAAGTTTGTATGTTTATATTGTAACTTATTTTTTAACACGCGTTATGGTTCAAAATAATTTTAGACGATGGACTAGATTATAAATGTCCTATAGACATTATTATCTATCAATGTCCTATATATATATTTTTTTTAATTTTACCATTTAAAAGTCATTAAAGGACTTTCAACTGAAACGCATTGGGATACAGAAAAATGCTTGACTCTGCAAGTTTACTGAATATCATAATTATGAATTATTGACATACAAGAAAACAAAATTTCCATTAGACTAATGGTTGGCATACGGCGACCTCTGCCAGCATATTTACTGTTAATAACAGCATTAAGAGCAAAGTTTGTTTGACGTTGGAGAGTAGACAGTGGCAGTAATTGTGGCCATTATTTCAAGTCGAGATACTAATTAAAACGTCATAGTAAAATTGATGTTTGTGCTATAAAGGCAATTGGAATTATTTAGGGAAGCAGGTGGGCGTCGGGGGGCCGTCAGTGTGTTTGTGTCTAAGTTGGATTCGGGACAACTTCCATTAAACTTCACTTCATCGAATTTCTCGGTTCCGGGCGAACAAAACGTTCAAATAACGGCATTGTTCCAGCAATAGAGCTTCCGCTACCTGGGCGGTTATTTGAGAAAAACTCCCGTCATAGACTTAAATGACATTCAGTCAGTAATCGATTGCCCTCCGCGCCCTTTTTCAGACCCCATGCACAATCATGTGTATTAAGTGCAAGTCGGAAATTAAAGAAAATCTCGGAGAAATGAATTTCGCGTTTGCTTACGCGACGAAAAACGCCGATTGGAAAATATAATAATACATCCGCGTGGAAATTACTCTCAAGTGAACCGTAATAAGTAAAGGTTGGGAGATCACTGTAATTCCATTACGATTTTTCCCCCAGGAAAAGTCGTAATGGCACCGTCCAAAGGGGCGTTAATTGCTAATCAGAAGAGCATACAATTATATCCCTAGACATTCGCACGGTAAATATTTCATTTTCGAGGTTATAGAACCAATCAGCAAAACATCGGAATTTAATTAGATAGCCGCAACTTACAAAAATTAACTCTACTAACGGGCCATCAACGGCCTTTTTACCACCTAATCTCCTTCCTTATTTGTTCCGATTTTCATCCAATTAATTTACATTATTCTACTTTAAACAAGCTTTAACCCTAAACGACAATCAGACCTTAATTATAAAACATTTTCTTTGCACATTTTTAACCAAAGATAATTGCACTTGTTGCACTATCCTTGGCTCTAATTCCAGACAACCCCACCTAATTAGACCCAAGTTCAATGTTTGAACACGTTTTTAAATGTCGAAAATTTACATTTTGTATCACAACGTATTTATTTTCTCAAAGTCAATACACAAGCAAAATTACATAAATGGTATTGACCAATTAACATTATTGTTAAATGAACCGTATTTTGAACACTGAATAGATGTTAAGCACACAAAAGAAAGAATCTAATTAAGCCAGATTATTTGTTCCTTTCTTATGCATATTCTTTAAAAATTCTACGGCTTTTATGTTTCATAGTGTTAATTTTATTGCACGATATTAATCTTAAAATTACTTAACTTCTTATAACTCGTATAAAAGTTTCTCGAGCTTCTGCAACGTAAGTTGGGCTGAGAAAATGCTAAACTTAATCAAACTTGTAGCGACACCCAAAAAAATTAAATAAAATTATTAAACGCTGTGTTTCTGTTATTTAAAAACAAGAAACAATAATAATAAATTATAATTAATGATTTAAAAATAAGAAACTTAGAAACCCAAATGGGAAGTATTTATGCAATAAGAAATAAGAATAACAGATATTTTTTGTATTAAATGAGGGAATTTTGCTACGAAATACAAACGACATTTTTTCTACAGCCATCAAAAAATAAAATAAAACAGCAATAAATATTTCTAAAATCAAAATAAAATCTTTGTTGATTTAACAGGGTTTTCAAGGTTACGATACTAAATAATTTAAATTTATAGTTTCAGTATTGCAGACAATACTTTTATTTATTTATTTAAAATTTGTGATAAATTCTATCAAAGAAAACTTAAATGTGACCAAGATGACTTTTATTCCTGCACGATGCGAAATGAAATAGCTCAAAAATGTGGTTTCTGTTTCTGAACAAGAGAAAAATCTATATCACAATCCCACTGACAAATACAGAACCAACTATTTCATACAAAGAAAAAATTATTAAAACCAAACTTTTTACTCTATTTTAAAATCATAATGTTTTTTATAGGCCCCTAATTAGTAGCATAAAATGGCTTTTGTGGTAGAAACTAATCAAAAACTCATATCCAATAGGATACAATACCTAACACACACTATCCCTAGTAACATGAAAATCAAAATCCTATCAATGTACTTAATGTTGAACAAAAATATTTCTCTTTTGTTCTCACCATTGACCATTTCATTTCATTTCACTATACAGGGTATTCCAGGAGTAAAAATGAAGCTGAAAAATTGTTTGGTAGCAACCAACATTACATTTCAAAGATAAGGTGGATTTTAAATATTTTGTTTTAGTTAAAGTGCTGTTTGGTCACTATGTTTAATTTACTAGAACCAAATATTTTAATATTCACGTTATCTTTGAAATGTAATGTTGGTTGCTTCAAAAAATTTTTCAGGCTCATTATTACTCCTGGAACATCCTGTATAATAGATACTTTATATGAATCTTCCTATTCACACACTTTGCTTTTGAAGTTTTGTTCTAATGAAGTTCTGTTTTATTTTCTGAACTTTTCTGAATGTTTACAAATCGTGACTTTGTTTTACTTTCGAAGATAAACCTCGAAAATGAAACAATTCTGAAAATGTTATAACATTCTGAAAGATTAGTGATTAAAAAGACAATTAATTTTCTTTGTTCCGAAAATTTCATAATCATTCAATTTCCTGCAAAAATTCGTATTTTCTTTATTAGAACGTGATTTTTCAATCCATCTTTCTGTACACATCGCAAGTACGCGAATAATTGCCATGACAAGAAAAGTAAATACTTTGGAACGAGCACTTCTGATTTCACGCGACATTTTCTGCATAAATCTTTAAAAAGGCGTGTCTGTAAAAGGTGAAAAACCTTCAAAGTGTGGCATTTATCGAATTATTGACGGCACACGAGCACACATACTTTGAATTTTACGTCGACACGGTCAAGGCTTAGTAAGCGCGATTCGTCTAATTAAGCGATTAATATTTGATCCAGACGCGTCCCTTTTCGAGAACTTGATTAGGGTGGGTTTCTGCCGGTGAAATACAGCCCCCTTCATTAACATATCTTATTCTTCAGCCGGAACGAGTCGACGGCGTACGTGCGATTAATTACGCGAGGCAAACAATAACAGCCACTTATTTAGATGTCTGCGCGGTTTAATTTATGTCCGCTCGTCTCAGCTATTCAAGCCACCAGCATGCGGCTCACAATTAAATAAAAAGCCCCCCATTTTAAGTATTACTACTTTTTAAATTAAAAGAAAAATCCGCTCTATTACGGTTTTGGTATTCTCAGGATGCCTCCCTTTGCCATGAATCAAACTTTCAGCGCAGATCGGACATATTTCAGGCAGGTAGCAGCTGAACCGGCTGCGACTCAACTGTTTTCGTAAACACGTGCTCTAGATTGCCTTGTTGGGTAAAGATATATTTTAGGCAGTGTGGAGACATCCTTAAAGCCCCGGACACGTAGGACATATTATACAAAAAAAAAAACAAAAAAGTACCTTGTAAAACTAAACTAAAAACCAGTTTAATAGAGACAAACATCAACAGTTTTAGTTTTTTGGGTCAGCTATTGTGGTGGCTGACGTTCGTCGTGTGTTTTTTTGTCCGAACGAAAGATAATTAAATCACCATTTTAGTGCAGTTTTTTCAATTCATTTGAAAGTTAATGTAAGATACAAGACTGGAGATTGAGAATCCTACAGCGGCGCAAGATTGGGGTTTTAGAAATGAGGTTCAATTTATGTTGAATCAGAGAATTCAACTATATTCATGAGCTTCCAAACGATTTGTATACATTTTCGGTATCTTTATCTCATCCGGATCTTTGAAGGCGTCGTGACCACCAGATAGTAAAATCTCATCACTTCCAAAGAAGTCTTGCGAATATTTTTTTGTAATTGTGTTTTTCTAGAAAATCCATCGTTTTAATCTACAATCCAGTTTGGTGGTAACCAAATATGTGTAATTAATACCCAGATAGTGATTTAATTAAGTCCAGTTATGAGGCGCTTCAATAAAGTGATCAATACGCCTATGTATGCACAGGGTTGAATGTAGTGTTTACCGACCTAAGTAAAGACACAGCGAAAGTGTTTAATTAAGTCCAGCAGCAGTGAAAAATATCATTTGATTTAAACCCAAAGAAATTCAAATTTCCCCATTTATTTTATCAAAATTAATCTCAGTAGCGTTCTGTTAATAATATTCAGATCTCTTGCCTTTGGAATGATTTATAATCGGCCTGAAACTTGTAAATTGTTGCCTATAACGTACACTACTACCAAACATGCCTCGACAAACTATAATTACTTTCCATTTACATGTCATGCATTATTTAAGTACCACGGAATTAAATTAATGATTGCTTCGGAAAAACTCCCAAGGGAATATTGTCAATAGTCGCCCTTACCTGAAATCGGTTTAATCCGGACTCGATCACAATTATAATAAAGTCACGAAAACCGGAGCCGAACCACTACTAGAATCCGGACGTGTCGTGGCAGGCGCGAAATGCGAACTGTAGATTTTCAGCGCTTACACTTAAAACTCCGGAGCCGAAACCACCCGGAAATATCCGATCGAAAGCTCTGATTGGAAACGCATGAATATGTAACGCAATTATCCTTCCTGTAACGAGACTACTTCGTTTTCTGTGTTTGCACCGTCCTGGAGCGATCCGGAAGTCTACATGTTTGATTGAATTTTTGCTAAATGATCGATCAGACCCAATTTTTAAGCGAATTAATTATTAGTAATTATTGCAAGGATTCAGTTCCATCTCCGTGAAGATTACTGTAAGAATTTAAAAATTCGGTCTGCTTTGAGTTGCAGGGTAATCCATCTTCTGGATGAATCAATTCGTGGGCACTCCCGCGCAAATTGCCGAAGAAAAAAACCTCTAAATGTGTCATTTTCATGCGTGTAATTTATCGATGAAGCCGTAGGTGAAAATGACGTTGTGTGGGTAATTTGCTGTGACACGATGAAATTTAAAACCCAGCCCACGATCCTACAACATACTTTTTTCAGTAGATCCGTAAAGCATCGTCCATGTCCTGTCTTCCTGCGCTATCACGAAGTCCAGACCGTGCGGTCCTCACTAATCATCTGCTCTGGCCCAAATTAGCCTATCTCTCGCATAAACAACTCAGTTGGTATCACGAAATGCCGGCTGTTCACTGATAATTGATACATTTGAAATGGGTGCGATGGTTTAATATGCGAAATGTACCAACGGAACACACATACCCATCATGTAATCACACCCACGAAACTCAAATGCTTGTAAAAAATTAAGCAATTTACACAACAAAATAACAAAGCAATATAATTATAAAATAATAACACAACATTTTTTTTAATTTTCTGAACGTCATATTCAATTACCTTTAAATAAATACCACTCTAATTTAAGTCGTCTTTAGACCTGAAATAATAAAGATAAAGAAAACTCTTATTCAAGCCATTATTTTGTTGAAATACTTTAATTCAGGTTGATTTTCTGCTTGAAAATGAGCCAAATCGATTGAAAATAGCACAAATTGCTTTATTTCTGCCTAAAATTGGGATTGAAGGAATTATTTTTATAAAATACATTGATTTTGAATGAATTCTGTATTAAACACCAAGATAAAATACAAAATTCAAATATTTTTTTAATAAAACTGATTTATTATTAATACACACGCAAAGGATTTCAAGTAGTTTGTTATAAATGCAATTTATAAATTTAGCAAATGCCTGTAATACAATACTTCAAAAAATCAAAAGAACAAAAAATTTTCCTAAATTTTTTGGTGATTTTTAAAAGGCTGTAATTTATTTAAAAATGGTCGTATTTAGACTTAAAAAAAAACAGTTTTAAAGCTTTAAGTTTATTTACCTTTAATACGCTTTTTTCATATTTTCTTTAGAAAAGAAAAAACTACCGTTTTGCGTTGTTTTAGTAAATCTACCGCGTATTCACTAATATTGATGGGGAGACTAATGTTTTTAGGTGTTTCTACAGCTTAATGTACCCCTCCTCATAGGTCTGTAAATTTTTAAATCGATCCATCAAACCGTTTTCTCGGACGGACTGATCAAAGTTTTACATAAGAATTAAAGGAACAATTGTACACATTGTTTCTGAACAATGTCTACTCTTTGTCAAAATGAGAAAAACGACTTTTTTAACTTTTTTTACAATTTTGCATTATTTAAATTTAAATTAAACGAATTCAAAAAACAATTAAAAAAATATTTTTGATTCTCTAACAAAAATTAATCAGTATTGTTTCTTGTATTTTTTTACAAATTTTAAAAAATCTAAAATATTTTATTTATTTTTTTTTTCAAAAATTAAGCAGTATTGTTTCTTGAATGTTTTTACAAATTTGCAAAAAACAATAAAAGTGCTTGATTAAATTTTTATTATTTTTAGGAAATAACTAATGCAAATTTGTAAAAGAAAGTCGAAAAAAAAATATTTTTTTCATTTTGATGAAGATTAGACAATATTCAGAAACAATATGTGCAATTGTTCCTTTAATTTTGGGCTATGGGAATACATTGAGCTGTAAAAACACCTAAAAACATTAGTCTGCCCATCAATATTAGTAAATACGCGGTACATTTACTTAAACAACGCAAAAAGTTACTTTTTCCTCTTTTCTTTAAATCAATGTTGAGTTTAAAAAAAATATTTTTCAAAAAATTATAAAAGGATTCTTATATTCTCTCTGATGTTATTGGTTGCTAAGGTATCGATAATCAAAGACAAAAGGATCCTTTTTCAGTTAAAGTCAGATATCTTAGTGACAAATTGACGTAAAGAGAATATAAAAAAAACGTATTAAATGTGAACGAACATGACTTAACTAAAAAAAAATCCCGACGACCGTGGACCAAAAACAAAAAACAAAAAAATTTAGAATGCATGAACGTGTTAACCTTAGTACAGAAAAAAGATCTCGAAACTAGTAACTTAGAGCTTCCAAATGTTTTTTTTTAATCTAGATGCGACCATTTTTAAATGAATTACAGCCTTTAAAAAATCACCAAAAAATTTAGGAACAATTTTTGTTCCTTTAATTTTGTGGAGTAGTGTAGATTAACAAAAATGCCTTGACATTCTCTTTTCGCACATATTTAATCTTAATAATTTTTCTTGCTTTGTACTTTTTGTGCTTTTGATCTAACGATATGGGTCAACCCTCTAATTACAAAGATATAGGCGCAGCACATACGTTTTTACATCTTGTGTCACGCACTTTCAAATTTACGACACAAGAGGAAAATGTAAAGTCTCAAAGAGTTCACAGCACGAACTAATTTCCCAAAGCTACGCAACAAGTTTTTTCCTTATTCTACTCTAATTTACTTTTTGTTAAGTTTTTCAGCGTATTGGATACAGCGAGTACTCGAGCTGCAAATTAAAAAATTGCTATCTACAAAAATACTTAGAGAAACAGAGAGAAATTTGACGCCAAATAATTCAGATTTAACAAAGCGTAAATCGTGCTTCGCAGCTGTAAAATTTCTCTTATACGCAAGTGACCTTTACAGAAGATTTTTGTACTAGTTGCGTGAAAGTAGAGTTAACTAGTTGTTTGTTTCCATTACCGTTTTGTATTTTTCTTTGAATGCTAAACCCAGTGTAACAAAGTAAAAGATTAATTAATGTTGATTAAAACCCGGTTTAATCCGTTATAAATTGTTAGCTTTTATGTATGCTCAGAAACTTAATTTTCGTGTTGTATCTATCGAAATGAAATTTTCTTTTAAATTTTCATCTCGTAGTTGATTTCATAAACCTATCAAGAACATGTTTAGCATATTAATTTTTCAGTTTCTGGATCAATACGTTGAGCAGAAAGTTTTGTTCTAACTTTAGGCGTTGGAATTTCATCGGTTCGATTAATTATATCGGCTTGATGGAAATCTAACGCGGGATGTACCTTTAATTGGAAATACAAGAGAACACAAGAACAAGATAGTTGCAATATAATAACAAAGGCGTCGGAATTAATGGTTTTCGTTGAGAGTACCTGTAGAGGAACCAAAGGAACACCAAAGAGCTTCACAATTCCTAATTCTACGATAATCCAGGATAAATCGGACCACAACAACAAATTCATCAACTGTGACAAAGGCGAGAACTTAATTGTTCCGAAACAGAGTCCTGTCTGGGGCTGTTGGCTGGAATTCATTACAAGAGATTTGGCCCTTGTTTGTTGAATAACTTATGGATTTAATTAAATTTAATGCTATTTTAATTTGTATCGTTATTGCGGACACAACGCCTAATTCCTTTTTCATCCTCATTATTTCAGACGTTTATAGCAACCTTCATTACCCCCCAATTTCCTTATAAAAATCTCCCAAAAAACAAACTATAAAGACGACATCAATCAGAAGCGGCAGTCGTAAGTCGCCCCAAATCCCCCTAATCGCATTCTAAAGTTAAACACAAACTAGAAACAGTAGATTTATGTGAGTCGAAGAGTAAATCTCGATGTGACTGTCCAGAATTTTATAACCATCGTCAAAACTTAAAAATAATCTTGTAACTTCTCCAATTACTGCCTCAATGGCCCGTATTAAAAATATTAATCTCTATTAAATGAAAAATCAAGCCGGGAACCTTAATCTCCCGCTACGCCACTCTAATTTTTAATATCGCTCCAACGTAATAATGTTTTTAAATAAGATTTTAACCGAAACTAATTAAGCCTGCAGCATATTATTTTATTACAGCCAAAGGCACCTCACCAAAATCGAACAATTGTCAAGAAGGGAGAAACAGAAAAAGCACGATTTTAACAGAAACACAAACAATTTCAGATTTTATTAAAACAGCCAAGCTCTCTCGCATCATTTATTTTTCATTTCGACCGAAAAGATTCCAGAGTAAGTATTCTAGACTTTGCGTTTAACCACCTCGTGTTTGCCATAGTTTGATTCTTATGATTATTTTCTTTGAAAATTTCCACCACTTAAGGGTGTCCGCGACCAACGATTCCAGACGTTAGTATATTGAAAACAAGATTACTCTCTTAATATGCAACAGAATTTCATGTATTATACGTCAAAATAAATTAAATAATAAAAAAATAAATAATAAAAAAAATTCAATGCTTTTAAAAAAAGAACAAAAATGCATAAATGGTGAACTTGAAAACAACTTTACTCTGTCATTTTTCAAGTAATCAGTTTTAATTTTTGTGAGATAATTTAAAAGAATATTCTATAGGCCGATACGTTGGTCTTTTTTTAAAAAAGTGTTTAGTTTTTGAGATATTGTGATTGATGTAAAAGTCACGATATTTAACGGTAGACCTAATGATTCGTTTTAGGGTTTTGGTAATTATTACAAAATATTAATTCTTAACAAATTCAACAAACACCATGTAATAAAACACTGTTGTTTTTAAATTATTAATAAGATTATTTATTATCTATGAGAGTTTTAATAGCAACAATAATCAGACAAAATAATTTATTATACAACAAATTTACACCTATTATTA